TCCACAAAATCCCAAACTGCAGAAAAACCGTTTAGTGTTGCCCTGTCTTGATGACGGGATCCTAATAGCATCTTCAAGCAGAAATAATCATACTGAGCTTCCAATTATAAATAAAGGATTTCTTGGATTTTCATGTCCTGTGGAATATTACAAAGCAATATTTCCCTGTCTGCAACTTTGCACACTATGCAAAATGTGTCCAGATCCAAAATAATAGCAACCAGTTTAAGTTGAGGAAATATGACTGGGAGAACACATATAAAAGGGTAAAAGGCAAAGATGAGGTAGTATATTGGGATGGCCACCTGGCCACCAAAGGTCCTCACCATCAGTGGGGAAACCAGTTTCACCCAGTTGGCCTTCATGCAGAGTTTCAGCTTGCGAAAGGGACAGGGAAGGAAGCAGAGGGTCTGAGTGGCCCCATGAGATCAGGAGGAAGTTGTGTAGGAGGAGGACGCCCTGTGACTGAGGGCCAGTGAGGAGTAGTGGGAGGTCAGATGTCCCCTACTCCGTGACACTGGACACGTTTCTTACTGGTTTTAAGACTGTTTCTTCAACAGTAAAATAGGGAAAGTGTCTAGTTCAGAGGGTCCTCATGAAGATTAAAAATTATGTATCTAAAGTTCTTCGCACATGGAAAACAACCATTAAACAGCCATTACACTCTCCCATACTGTGTTAGCCCATTTTCTGTTATTTATAACAGAATACTTAAAATGGTTTATTTGTAGAGGAAAGAAATCTCCTTTTGTACAGCTATGGAAGTCAGGAAGTCCAAGGTTGAGGAGGTGCATCTGGTGAGGGCCTTCTTGCTGGTACGGACTCCGTGGAATCCTAAGGCAGAGCAGGGCATCACATGGCAAGGGGGCTGGGCATCTTAGATCAGGTCTCTTCCTCTCCTTATAAAGCCACCAGTTCCCCTCCCATGATAACCCATTAATCCATTAGCCCATTAATTTTTTTTTTTTTTTTTTTTTTTTGACGGAGTTTCGCTCTTGTTACCCAGGCTGGAGTGCAATGGCGCGATCTCGGCTCACCGCAACCTCCACCTCCCGGGTTCAGGCAATTCTCCTGCCCCAGCCTCCTGAGTCACTGGGATTACAGGCACGCGCCACCATGCCCAGCTAATTTTTTGTATTTTTAGTAGAGACGGGGTTTCACCATGTTGACCAGGATGGTCTCGATCTCTTGACCTCGTGATCCACCCGCCTCGGCCTCCCACAGTGCTGGGATTACAGGCTTGAGCCACCGCGCCCGGCCAGCCCATTAATTTATTAATCCATAAATGGATTAATTCATTCATGAGGGCAGAGCCCTCATGATCCAATTAGCTCTTAAAGGCCAAAGCTCTCAACACTGTTGCATTGGGGATGAAGTTTTGACATGAGTTTTGGAGCAGTCAAACCACAGTGCATGTTATTACTGAGAATATGATATTCAGCGTCACCCCAGCCTCATTTGCTACCAAATGACACAACCAAAACCAATTAAGGTTCATTCCCATTTATTGCTGTGGTTTTGTTGTCCTTGTTGTTGAGACAGAGCCTTGCTCTGTTGCCCAGCCTGGAGTGCAGTGGCACAATGTTGGTTCGCTGCAGCCTCCATCTTCTGGGTTCAAGCAATTCTCCTACCTCAGCCTCCTGAGTAACTGGGATTGCAGGCTCCCACCACCACACCCAGCTCAGTTTTGTATTTTTAGTAGAGATGGGGTTTCACCATGTTGGCCAGGCTGGTCTTGAACTTCTGACTTCAAGTGATCCTCCTGCCTCGGCCTCCCGAAGAGCTGGGATTACAGGTATGGGTCACCGTGCCTGGCCCCCATTTCTTTTTAAACAAATATTTATTGAGCTTTTACCAGGCTCTGAACTGGGCTCTGAAATAAAATGGTAAACAAAAGCAGCCATGGTTCCTGCCCACACAGAACTTAGTATCTGTTGGAGAAAACAGATATATTGATTTAAAAGTCATGCAAAGGCCGGGCGCGGTGCTCACACCTGTAATCCCAGCACTTTGGGAGGCCAAGGCTGGTGGATTATGAGATCAAGAGATTGAGACCATCCTGGCTAACACAGTGAAACCCTGTCTCCACTAAAAATACAAAAAATTAGCAGGGCATGCTGGCACATGCATGTAGTCCCAGCTACTTGGGAGGCTGAGGCCGGAAAATCACTTGAACCCAGGAGGCAGAGGTTGCAGTGAGCCGAGATCGCACCTCTGCACTCCAGCCTGGGCAACAGAATGAGACTAGTTCTCCTAAAAAATAAAAACCTTACAAATGTAACCCCATAATTGAGACAGTGGTGTTTTACAAGACTGTAATTGCAGAATTTAACCTAGTCAGAGAAGTTATCCCTGAAGAAGTGAACTTTGAGCTGAAACCTGAAAAATAAACATTAAGCAGAGGTGGAGGCCGGGGGAACAGCAGGGGCAAACATCGGTGGCAAAAGGTCCTGAAAACAGCTCTGCAAAGCTGCAGAAGAGACAGATCCCCAGGAGGACACAACTGAAATGAATGAAGTGGGACAATCATAGTAGACACCAAACCACGCGGGGGGGGGGCCTAGTATAGTGTCAGCAAGGCTCTAATTTACAATGACAGAGTCCTCTTAAATGACAGGGAAAACAAAATAATGGTGCTTCAGGACCTTATTCATGGCATTAATAACCTGCTTTAAATTCATATTTGGAGTGATTTTTTATTTGAGATGGAGTTTCACTGTTGTTGCTCAGGCTGGAGTGCAGTGGCGTGATCTTGGCTCACTGCAATCTCCGCTTCCCAGGTTGAAGCGATTCTCCTGCCTGAGCCTCCTGAGTAGCGGAGATTACAGGTGTGCACTATAATGCCTGGCTAATTTTTGTATTTTTAGTAGAGATAGGGTTTTACTATGTTGGCCATGCTGGTCTCGAACTTCTGACCTCAGCCTCCTGAAGTGCTGGGGTTACAGGTATGAGCCACCACACCCGGCTGGAGTGATTTTTATTTCTCTCATTTTGTATTTTTTCTTATTGTTTACATTGCTTCTGATGCATGTTAATCATTTTTCACAAAAATGCTTTCTTCTAAGTCAACTTCATTGAGACATTTATTGAAAGTAAAATGTGCCAGTTTTAAGTGTACATCTCTATGAGTATTGACAAATTTACACACCCATGTAACCACCACCACAATCAAGGTGAAGAGTATTTGTATCATGCCAGGAAAAGTTCTTTCTCAGTCAGCACACCCAGCCCCAGGCAACAACTGACCTGTTTTCTGACACTATATGTTGTTCTTTTTTGAGTTTCATACAAAGGAGATAATACAATATGTACTCTTATGACTGGCTTTTTTCACTCAACATGGTTTTGAGATTTATCTATTCTGTTGCATGTACCAGTAGTTCATTCCTTTTTATTGCTGAGTGACATTCTGTCTTATGGATATTCCAAAATGTGTTGATTCACTCCCCTGTTGGTGAACATTTGGGTTCCAGTTTGGGCTGCTATGAATAATAGGGGCATGCACTTTTATTTCTTTGGAGTAAATATCTGGGAGACGAATTCTGGCCATAAAAACCTTTTTTTTAAGTAAATTAATAAAACAAACAGCAAGGTGCAGTTTAAAAAACCAGGTCACAGACCAAATCAGAAATAGTTACTGATTTCCCAATGTTACATCACTAGAGAAGTAACTGCAGTTCAGAAACCAGATTTTGTGGTTTCTCATGTGAATTCCAGGTAATAGTGCCCATGTATGTACTTCCTGTTATAACCATCAGTGACTGTTCATTCCCATCACTCAGCTCGGATTAACACACAAAATGAATTAAAATTAAAAGCAGTTGGGGGTTGGGTGAGGCACTTGGAGGAAGAGAAGAAAAAAGGAAACACGTCTTACCCTGCTCCCAGTAGACATGAGTCTCAGATGGCATAGACAGTTGCCTGTCAGATGTGACTCCCTAAGTAAATCAGAGCTGCCTCTGCCAAAAATGCTCCTCCACTGATAGCCCCTGTGTCCTAATACCAACCGTTAAGAGTTATACCTCCTGGCCAGGCGCCATGGCTCACACCTATAATCCCAGCACTTTGGGACGCTGAGGCGGGTGAATCACCTGAGGTCAGGAGTTCGACACCAGACTGGCCAACATGGTGAAACCCAGTCTCTACTAAAAATACAAAAAATTAGTTGGGTGTGGTGGCGGGCGCCTGTTATCCTAGCTACTTGGGAGGCTGAGGCAGGAGAATCGCTTGAACTAGATAGATGGAGGTTGCGGTGAGCCGAGATTGCGCCACTGCACTCTAGCCTAGGCAACAAGAGCAAAACTCCATCTCAGAAAAAAAAAAAAATCATACCTCCTTGGTAAATTATTAATTAAGTGCCCAGTGAGAAGGTACATGGCCCAAGCTCTGGCTTCTTTATGGGATCTATCAACAGCTTCCAGGAAAGGGTTACACAAGCCACAGGGGGATTGTTTTGTAAGAGGAAGGGAAGGACAGAAAGATCTAGAACAAGGTATAGATGTCTCCTATTGCAATCAGATTTGCTGACCTAAAAACTAGAAAACAAGGTCTAACAAACTACATAATTTTCTAATCTGTTCGTATTTTTAAACAGTAGCTCCACATTGAGTCATTTAGCTCATTTTCTTTGTTCAGAATATCCCATATCCATGAACCCCAAATGGTAAGCCAGAGAGAGAAGGCTGGGAAGGAGGCATCAGTGGAAACTGTAAGCAGCCAGGGCCGCTGGGACCTGCAGAAGGCATGAGAAAGCAGGAAGGAAGGAGGGAAGAGGGAAGCGACCTGAGTCTGCCTCTAGCCTGTGTCTGCTTCCCGTGCAGTCTAGCTTAGGGACACAGAGAAGGACTTCTGAGTAATGAGCACACCTAAAGTGTCGGCCATGGGGCAGAAAAGACACTCCTTCCTGGTTGTCATCCTGTAATTTGTGCCTGTCTCCTGTGTTGAGCTTTACCCTTTGCCTGACTGTCCAGGCAGACCCGAGAAATTAAGACAAAATGGCATATAGAGAAAGATACAATTTATTCAATACATAGGGACAAAATTTCTGTAACTTGGGGAGGTCAAGTTATATCATCAAAGCTGTTAAACTTCTACTTTAAAAGTAGAAGTACGTGTTGACAATCATTTTCATAACAGTCAGGAAAATGAAGCTGGTTTCACAATATGGAGTGTCCTTTCTGGTCAATAGTATTGCTTCAAGAGAGATAGCATTTCACAGATCTTTCCTGTGACTTCTAGAAAAGTCATCCAGCCAGATTTAGGTTCAAACTTCTTTACAAAGCCATTTTCCTAGGAGAGAAAAAATTTAATGTTTTAAAAATCAATGGAGATTATGTTGGAATAAAAAGCAAAAATTATTTAAATAATGCAAACAGTTAATCTTCTACCCCTTCTACCTCTCTGAAGCAACAATATGTAACAGAAACAGTGTGATCTACATCTGTAATTTTAAAATTTTCGTAGCCATATCTTAAAAAGTAAAAAAATAGGTAAAACTTTTAAGATACATTTAGTGTTATTTTAATATGCACTCAGTATAAAATCATTAATGAGATACTCTTTTTTCGCAACCTTCTGAAATCCAATGAGTATTTAGTACTTACAGCACATCTTAATTCAGACTAGCCACATTTCACTACCATAGTGGACAAGAAGCACAGCTCTAGAGGATAGAATGCCTTTTTTTTTTCCTTGTTCAATCGTCCAGCATTGATTTAAATGCACTTATATTTGTAATATAAATTACTTTATATTGTAAGCTGCATTGTATTGAAAATCAGGAGAACTCACAGTAAATCCAGATTAAATCAGTGCCTCTGAAAAGGTTGATGGTTTTGAGGAAAGAGACCCAGGCATCTGGGATCACCTCCCTCTTGACTTCCACAATGCATTTCAATAGAAGAACAAGCAGGCCAACTGGCACCTCCTGAATGACCTTCCTGTAAATAACACGCTTGGTATTGGGGAAACTCTACAGAAGACACTGTTTTTACTTAAAACAAAATCAAACCCCCACCCCACTCCTCCATGTGGAGACCAGAGCCTTTTCACATGTGATTTCTAAAGCTGTAAACCCAGAAACCCTTTCATATGTGATTTCTAAAGCTGTAAATCCAAAACCCTTTCACTTGTGATTTCTAAGACTATAAACCTAAGATTCTTCCACGTGTAATATCTAGAGTGTAAGCCTATATAAAAGCAGAACCTTCCTTTGTTAGACAACTCATTGCCTGGCTCCCAGCCATAATAGACCCCTCCCTTCCCCATTCAGTGTTTGAGAGCTCTATTTCTCTCGGCCACTCCTGCTACAGTTTCTTTTAAAATCTACTCTCTTTGTGATCAGACATAGTTTTAAAAATATAGGATAATCCAATTAACTGGAAATTTTATTTAGTTAATTTACAATCTATATTCATAGAATCCTCACTGAAAAGCATCTCTGAGATCATCTAGCCTGAAGCCCTCCCTTATTTTAACAAATGAGGAAATTGAGGCCCAGAAAAAAATAATAAGTTATCTAAGATTAGCCACCTCCTTGTGCCTGGACCGGGATTAGAATGCAAACACCCTACTTCTTTCCACTCCATACATTTCCAGGCAAGTGCCAAAGGAATTAGAAAATTGTTTAAAAATTTTTTTCAAATGGTCATCTGGCAAACATTTACATCTACATCTTACAGGTTCCAGAATCTGGGGCTACAAATGCCTGCAAGTAGCTCAGAGCCTGGTGTGATGAATACTGAAACATAAACCAAGCACAACTCCTCCGTAGTTGGGAGAGACTCAAGAGCTCTGCAGTGCCTTGGAATCATTTATGAGCATCACTGGCAGAGCAGATGTATACCACCAGCCAGCGGGACTTTCCACTTGACAGATTGCCTAAGAAAGCCATTTTCTGCCTACATGTTAAATGTGGATTGTGCTCTGAGACATGCTGTCATGCCCTGACAAAGAAGGAAACTGCCCCCTCTCTTCTTCCTCTTTCCCTCCTGCCAGCACATGCCCATAGATTTCCCATACACTCTCAGAAGGTGTCCACTTCATTACAGTCCTTCCTAGAATTTTCATAAAGCCCATGTTTTGTGAGTATAATGAGGCCCTCTGAAATGATTTTTATTATTATGACAACAATCACTGTCTATGAACAGTTAACCTGTCATCATGCACATCATTATCTAAAGAAAGGACAGTGAACAAAGAAAAACATTGATGACTTCAGCCAGATGAAGATTAAAATTTTTTTTAACTATGAAAAATTAAAATTAAGAAGAACAATGGACTAGGAAAATATTTACATATACCATGAAAGAATTCATTCAAAGATAAGAGAAAATCCTCAGGCTCTTAATAGTTAAGTTTAAAAGGGAAAGACCACTAAAGAGAGAAATATAAATCATTAACAAGTATGTGGAAAAACAGTAAGAGCAGTTAAAGAAATGTACTTTGAACACAGCCTTACTGTTTTTTAGACCTATTATATTGGCTTTGTTATTTTATGCCTATCAAACCCTCAAAATTATTAATAGTACCACCCATGTTGATAAGTTTGTTGTGACATTGTTCCATTGATATAATACTTTTGGAAAGAAAATATGTTTTCCAATATGCTAGAGTATTGTAATTACACACATATCTTATAAACCAGTCATTCCACTATTAGAAATTTATCATGAGGCAGTCTTCTAAAATATTGGAGGGTAGGGGGCACCAGAGAAACACCAATGCTTCAGTATTGAAGCATTATATCTAAAAGGGGAAAACTCAAAAAAAAAAAAAAAAGAATTGTCTAACAATTGGGAATTGGTTAAGTAAATTATGGTATAACAAATTAATGCAATATTCTGTAGAGATTAAAAATGTCTAATGCTAACATGAAATATGTGAGACAGTGTTGAAAATATTTATAATATAATGACACACGAAAAAACTCTTCTGTATACCCTAATTATAATTTCATATAATGTCTGCATGTGGATATGTTAGGGTGATGGGAGTAATTTTTCTTCCTTTCAAAAATGTTATTTTCAAATATATTTTCTTTAATGATGCTATTTGTATCTTAAAACCATTATATAAAAATAAATATACAAATAAGGATTCAATATCCTATCAGTAATGTAGTAGTAAATAAGCATTGTTCAGGCCTTATTATTTCTAAGAATAGTGATAGTTTGTTAAATTCACCTACCTTGGTTTCAAGGAAGCCTGAAGCATAAAATGATATGCTGTATAACTAATGCAAAGAAAATCAGAACCTCAGAATTTTTTTTAAAATATATATTTTATTGCATTTTAAGTTCTGGGGTACATGTGAAGAACATGCTGGATTGTTGCATAGGTACATACATGGCAGTGTGGTTTGCTGCCTCCATCCTCTTAGAACCTCAGAATTTTTAAAGATACAGGCAGCCAGGTGCGGTGGCTCAAGCCTGTAATCCTAGCACTTTGGGAGGCTGAGGTAGGAGAATTGCTTGAGCCCTGTAGGTTGAGGGTGCAGTGAGCCAAGATCGTGCCATTGCACTCCAGCCTGGGTGACAGAATAAAACCCTGTTTCAAAAAACAAAAACAAAAAGATACCGGCAGATACTATGATGTTACTCCCACTTCTCTAAAGACTATTTATTTATTCAGGAAATATTCATTGAGCATTGGTCACATGCCAGGCAGCATTTACAGCACTGGAAACACAGCGGTGAACAAAGCATATAGGATCCCTGCCCTCACTAAGCCGATATTCTCATGCAGACACAGACAGTAAACAGATAAGTAAATATATGTACAATGTCCAGTCATGAAAACTATTAGGAAGGCAATAAAGTTGGGTAGGGAGACAGAGAGCAGCAGTGGTACTTTCTCAGATGGGGTGATCAAGGAAGACTTCTCTGAGGAGGCAACCTTGGAATGGAGAGCTAAGCAAAAAGAAGGGGGAAGTCAGGCCGACTTCCGGTGGAAAATTATTCCAGGCAGAGGGAACAGCAAGTGCAGAGGCCTTGAGGGTGGGATGTGCTCAGCTTATCCAAGGAGGCTAGAGCTATGAGAACATGGAAGAGTTCATAGAAAATGAGATTCGAGAGGCAGTTAGAGGCTAGATTATGTAGGGCTTTGAGTACCACAGTCAGAATTTCGTGCTTTTGTTCCCAGGGTGAAGGGGCAGCTTAGAGTTATGATTAGGCCAAGACATGATCTAATTGAAGTTTTAAAAATATCGCTGTGGCTGCTATGTGTAGAAGAAATTATAGCAGATAAAGGATGGAACCATGAAGTCCACCAGGAGGCTACCCACAGAGTCACGTGAGAGAGAAGGTGGCCTAGATGCCCAGGGGATTACAGCATTTCAAAGGGGCAGCCGGGAAGATGTCTGATGGGCGGATGTGGGCTGTGAGAGGCAGGAGTCCAGGCTGACTCCCAGGGTAGAGAACTGGCCCTTGGAGAGCTTGACGGGGCCTCAGGAGAGGTGCTTTCTCTCAGTCCTGTGTCAGCATCATGCATTTTTGCCTGACTTGAGGGTCATTTATTTTTCACTAAATGATTTTAAAATCTCAAGTAAAAATTCAAAAGAAATAGAAGAATTTGGCCCCCGAATTTACTTAATCAAAGGACATATATGAATCCTTAAGATGGTGTTACCTCACTGCTAGATCTTTATACCTTTCAGAAATGCCTTTGAAAAAGTGAATGCTTAATCATCTCCATGTCTCTGTGTACCCATTTATTTGGCCTCAAATTGACCAGGCTATTATTTAGAGTAACAGGATAACAAAGAAAAAAAAAAAACCCTCTTGGCCTAACTGTATGACCCAAGGTTTAAAATTGTGGTTACTTGGAAAGCACCAACTCTGACTGTACATCTACTTTCAGAAGAGCTAAGAATTACATATTTAAACTTCCTGTAATTTCCCACATAACCCTCATGGTTGAATAGTATTTGACAGTTTGCAAAGCACTTTATTACAAAACGTGTTTTATAATCATTTAGATTTCCTTTAAAGGTAGGTAATACTGTTTTCATTAAATATTATAGATATAATAAGTTATCGTACATCCTATCATATTATTATATACATTATATAAGGAATCTGAGTCTCAATGTACCTCAGTAACTTACCCAAGGTTATACCTCTAGTGAGTAAGAAAACCAGAGTTCAAATCTCCAGTTCCAGTGTTGCTTCATTGAATCATTTCATCAGCAAATATTTGTTGTCACCTTCTATGCGATAGGTCCTATGTATGAGGTATACAGTGATGCATTTAGTAGACATGATTTCTCCCAGGTGGAGCTGAGAGCCAAGCATTCTTTCTATTCCCCCAGCATATACAGAGGAGAATGCCTCACTGAAGAGGAAGAAAGAGCCACCTGGTTCAAAAGGAAGGGTGATCTCAAGGGAAGACAGGAGTTTCACCTCAAGACCATTCTAATGTTTTTTTGTTTGTTTGTTTGTTTTTAAGGTGGGGTTTCACCATGATGGCCAGGCTGGTCTTGAACTCCTGACCTCAGGTGATCTACCCACCTCGGCCCCCCAAAGTGCTAGGATTACAGGCGTGAGCCACCACGTGCGGCCCTAATGGTTTTTAAGAGCCATCCTTTCCTCATGAATGCAGAAGGTAGCCAAATGGCACTAGCTTCCCTATCAGATCTTGTGAGAGCCCATCCTTTCTCAGCCCTTCAAATTAGTAGAGGGGACAGGAGGAAATCATGGTAAATGTGGAAGAAAAGAAAAAGAAAGATGAGACGCCACAAACAAAAGAAGGCAGGAAAACAGGCAGACAGGCAGAAAGGCAGGCAAGACAGGCTGATAAAACGGAGAAAGAGAACAGGGAAAGAGATTAGGAGTCCCATTACTGATAAACCAGTCTTGTTTCTTCCCATTAGGGGATCTGTTTTACATGATAATTAATATCTAACTATATTTGATCATACAATTTATGGAGACTAAATGTAGTCAGATTCACTCAATGGAAGCTAGGTAATGCTACTACCGACAGCAACAATCCTAAACTTGTATTGAGTACTCATTTTCAGGAATTGTTCCAAGTGCTTTGCATATATTAACTGATTTAATCCTTATACCAGTCCCAGGACATAGGTTGCAATATTTTCCTGTTTTTACAGATGAGGAAACAAGGCTTAGGGAAGTTAAGCAACTTGTGCAATTCACACAGGTAGTAAGCATTCAAGTCCAAAAATGAAGCCAGGTTGATCTGATTCTGAGTTGGTGCTCTGAACATCTATGCTGTGCTCACATTCTGTTGTTGTTGTTGTTGTTGTTTTGAGACAGTCATTCTGTCACCCAGGCTGGAGTGCAATGGCTCACTGCAACCTCTGCCTCCCAGGTTCAAGTGATTCTCCTGCCTCAGCCTCCCAAGTAGCTGGGATTCTAGGCACCTGTCACTATGCCCTGCTAATTTTGTATATTTAGTAGAGATGGGGTTTCACCATCTTAGCCAGGCTGGTCTCAAACTCTTGACCTCAGGTGATCTGCCCACCTTGGCCTCCCAAAGCATTGGGATTACAGGGGTGAGCCACCATGCCTGGCACATACTGCATTCTTAATTCAAAGTTTTCATAAAGTCTCTGGGCATTTTTAAACTTTAATTAAATTATAGACTGTGTGTTTTATGATCAGTGATTTCTTGAGAGTTTTTTCAGGCAGGTAGAAAGTGAGAAACTGGTATTCTCATCTTAATAAAGTTGAGAGTGCCTCCTCTACTCTTACCTCTTCTTCTGGGCCACTGACTCTACTAGCATAAGCATGAGACTGTGCCATTTCCCCTGAAATGAATCATTCAAGAGTAAATTCATTCATTTGAGCAGATTTGTCAACATCACTATGAAAAGAAGGTAACAGCTTTCCCATGCCAGTTTGCACTGACTCAAAAAAGCTCTGCCTGTCATGAACAGAACCAATGTCTCATCTGAGCTGAAATGACATCTTAGAGTGTTTGTTTCATTTCTACAACCTGAACTGTTCAGGTGTTTAAAAAAAAAAAAAAAAAACTTGGAAACATTAGAAAGGCTGAGTGTGTGCGTGTGTGGGCAATGTGTGTATTGTATCTACACCTGTTTACGTCTGTATCACCCTCCAAAAATGAGGGCACTGCGAGAAATTCTCAGAGACAATTCCATACTAACAATGAGTTCCAGGAGCTCACAAATTTTATTGTGACGAAGTTAAATTTTTAAGTAACATGCATTCACCGTCTGCGTGTTCCAAGTTCTATGCTAGGCTTTGGGAATACAGTCCAAGCCCACATAGAGCCTGCAAACTAGTAGAGTATTTCTCTACAAGCTCATATGTGGTCTTCTGTGCTAGAGAACATTTGTCTTCACCTGAAATGTACATAGTGCAGCTGAAATTTCCACCAGTCCTTCAGTATAGCCTCCCACAGCCAATCAGAAGGAAACATGACAAAACAGTTCACATGCTTCGCCCAGCCTCAGTCACGCTGAGTTAGAAAGAACTAAGTTCCAGGAACAAGATGATTGAGAAAGGGGAGTAGCTGCGGTAAGGTCTATCATGCAGGAAGACCTTGAACAAAATAAAAAAGGCATCAAGTAAAAGATCAATAAATTTGATTACGACAAAGTTGTAAACGTTTGTAATGACCAAAGGCATCGCTAGCTTTAAAGGATAATCAGCAAAATTGAAGATATCTGCCACATATATAAAAATAATTTGGCTCACACCTATAATCCCAGCACGTTGGGAGGCTGAGGGGAGGATCACACGAGGTCAGGAGTTCGAGACCAGCCTGACCAACATGGTGAAATCACGTTTCTACTAAAAATACAAAATTATCTGGGTGTAGTGGCACATGCCTGTAATCCCAGCTACTTGGGAGGCTGAGGCAGGAGAATCGCTTGAACCCAGGAAGCAGAGGTTGCAGTGAGCTGAGATCACGCCATTGCACTCCAGCCTGGGAAACAAGAGTGAAACTCTGCCTCAAATAATTTAAATAATAATAATTTGTATCCATAATATTCAAAGAATTCCTACAAATCAATAAGAAAAAGACAATAGGAAAATGGGCAAAGGATGTAAACAGGCAATTCCCTGCGTAATACTTACGAATGATCCATTAATATACGAAAAGATGCTCAAAATGGAAAAACATTTCACCTTACTAGAAATCAAGAAAATGAGAATTAGGCGGAGCATGGTGGCTCACGCCTGTAATCCTGGCACTTTGGGAGGCTGAGGCAGGCAGATCATGAGGTCTGGAGATCAAGACCATCCTGGCCAACATGGTGAAACTCCCGTCTCTACTAAAAATACAAAAAATTAGCCAGGTGTGGCAGCACACACCTGCAATCCCAGCTACTTGGGAGGTTGAGGCAGGAGAATTGCTTGAACCCAGGAGGCAGAGATTGCAGTGAGCCAAGATCGCGCCACTGCATTACAGCCTGGGTGACAATGTGAGACTCCATCTCAAAAAAGAAAATGAGAATTAAAACAAGATAAACTCTATTCTTTTAGCCCAACAAATGAAGGAAATTATGACAAATTGCAACAACCTAATGTTAGTCAGCTGGGGTGGGGGTACTGTTAGATAACTCTAACAACCTGCTGAGGGGAGTGTCACTTGCTAGACTTGGTAGACACACTCTGGAGGGCAAGGACCTAGTTAATTAAAAAATGTATATACACCATAACCCAGAATTTATAACCCAACATCCACCCTAGAAAAATACACACATGCACAAGGGAACATATATGTAAAATGATAGCCAATAAAGCATCGTGTGTGATAGCAAACTCGAAATAACCTCAACAGCTATCAACTGGAAATGGCCAAATACTCTACAGTATTTACATACAAAGAATATACACAGCACTCTTAATAATACTATTTTAAATAGCTCTGAGTAAAAAAAAAAGTTGCAGAATTAGTGCCATATACTATTTTTACATATACACATGTAAAAATATGTATGCAAAATGTATATTATATGTAAAAAATTTATGTGTATATGTAAAAAAGTATATATGTTATATGTTTTATGTGTTATATGGTATAACATATATGTTATGTAAAACATAAGCACACGTACATTTTACATAAAACTTTTTTTACAAAAGTTTTTTTACAAAGAAGTATTGATTATTTTCTATGGGTATATTCAGTAGGCATGTTTTGCATGCAAAATAATTGATAACAGTGGTTACCTCTTGGGAGAGGTGAAGGCCAGGAATTAGGGGTTTGAGAGAGGATCCATGGAGATTTAAGGGCTTTAAAAAATAATCATTAATTATATTGGGATATAAAGGAAAGCATATACATCCAGATGTGTCAGGCTTTTTACCAACATGTTTCAACAAAGGCCCCTACACAGCCTTGGCTTTTTGAGGCACTGTTAATAAAGTGAGTTTTTATTTGAAAATTCTTAGATAAAGGTTCTTGCTGGTGGTACAGTACATTATGTTTTAATCAACAAACCTCAACAGCCCAGAATTTGTTAGTAACAATTTGTTATATATTATCAATATCAATTTGTTATGTATTAGTAAACTGAAAAACATCAATTTGTAAGCAAGAACTTTAAAAAATGTACACCTGCCTTTTGCAACCTCATAAATACCTAAAAATAACAGCATCTAATAGCAACTCTTTCTGTACTGATTGTAGAAATGTCCTCACTGTCTGTACCGTCAGGACAACCTTAGCAAAGCTAAGTACTAGATTACATGTGAGCACTGCTGATTCTGAAGCTGCATGAGAGAGGAGATTTATTAGTGCCCAAGCCTCACTACTGTAATTTATACTGTTAAAAATAAAAACTGGAAACACAAGTGCTTTCCAACTATAAAATTCAAGTTCAAGGATTCATTGGAAATAAGCCAGAAGCTAGAATTTTATTTTAAAAATGAACTCAAACCACCCAAGGAAAATAGTATTCTTGGGTAAATGTTTTGTTGTTGTTTTAATTAGCAAGGACATTCTCGATTTCTATTTCACAGTAAAGAACAATGAAGAATTTTCCATCACACATACCCAGCCTCCGTTTTGTCTTATCCATTCTCCTGTGTTATTCATTATGTACTCAGCAACAAAATACGAAATCTCCTTATAAGTATCCACATCCGGGGCAATTCGCTCTTGTAGAAGTTTCTTGATGAGAATACCTTCAAATGCAAATATGGTTACAATTCTTCCCCAGTTAATAATGCCATCTTCAAATTCCGTTTCCATCACTTGACTGAATATCGTTCTGGCATTATCTATGGACACAATATTAACATTGTCCAAGCATGGCTTTTTGGACTGAGAATGCAACCTTTTGTAGCACTCTGGACGTTTTGCTTGGACCCGTTCCAGATTGTGGTATCTGCAGGACGTACCACAGATAGTCCTGAGTTAGATTGTGAATATATCCAAATTCACTGTCTGTCATCTTCTGCCTGGTGGAGAGCAAAGTCTTGAGCTGGCTCACCTTGAAGCTGTTGAGGCAATTTGACGAGAATGCTCACTGAGCTTGGCTGAGTTATGACACATGATGACACGTGGAGGATGGTGGAATTTCTGTTTGCATCACCTTATAGTATCCTTCCTCCTAGTCACTTTCATGCGTAGGCTGTTTAATGTCGTGCGTGAAAGAGAAAGTTTAAAATGTGAAAGAGGAAAATGTTTCGGAGAGGCCACTTCCTCATCCTGTGATTAATTCAGCTTTACAAGTCTTAAGTGCAGGGTGTGGAGAAATTAGAATCCTTGTACGTTGCAGGTGGGAATGTGAAATGGGGCAACCTCTATGAAAAGGTTGGCAACTTCTCAAAAAGTTAAATACAGAATTATCAAAAGACCCAGCAATTCCATTCATAGGTATATACCCCCAAAAGAAGTGAAAATAGATACTCAAATACTTACATAGGAATGTACATGACAGCACTATTCACAATAGCCAAGAGGTGGACACACTTAAATGTTGATCAACAGACAAATGGATAAGTAAATTATGGAAGACTATGCATCCAAAAAAAGGAATGAAGCACTGATAACATGCTTCAACAGGAATGAACCTCAGAAACATTAGGCTAATAGAAGCCAAACAGAAAAGGTCATATATTATGTGATTCTATTTCTATGAAATATCCAGAATAGTTAAGCCCCTAGAGACAGAAAGCAAGATGGTGGTTGCCAGGGGCTGAGGATGAGGGAGACATAACTGCTCAATGGGTAGCAGGTTTTCTTTTGCATGATGAAAATGTTTTCAGCTAGATCAAGGTGGTAGTGCAGAACGCTGCGAAGGCACTAAATGCCACTGAAATGGTTTTGTGAATTTCAAATTCAAGAAGTCTTAAATGCCGTCCAGGGGGTAAACCGGAGTAAGGATATTATGGGATGGAGACTACAGAACAGCCTGGGTGATGGAGAACAGGGCATCTTGAGGTGGCTCTGACAGTACCACCCTTGATCATTTGTAATTGAGTAAGGATGATACTGAAGAGGGAAGAAGAAAATACTTTCTTTGGTCTTCACCTTTCACCTACTCTAGAATTTCTGATGGAAAACAAAATCCTGGCTGGGCGCACTGGCTCACACCTGTAATCCCAGCACTTTGGGAGGCCGAGGCGGGAGGATCACCTGAGGCCAGGAGTCGAGTCCAGCCTGACCAACATGGTGAAACCCAGTCTCTACTAAAAGTACAAAATTAGCCAGGCATCATGTAGTCCCAGCTATTCGGGAGACTGAGACAGAAGAATCCTTGAACCCGGAGGTGGAGGTTGCAGTGAGCCGAGATCACGCCATTACCCTCCAGCTTGGGCAACAAGAGTGAAAAACCCTGTCAAAAAAAAAAAAAAAAGAGAGGGAGAGAGAGTGGAGAGGGAGAGAGAGAGAGGAGAGGGAGAGGGAGGGAGGGAGAGAGAGAGAGAGAGAGAGAAAAGAAAAAAAAAATCCTGCTTTAAGCCTGACTTAATTGATACTTTTAACCGAGGTAAACTATCCAATGTGTGGATTAGAAATTGCAGGACCAGAAAGAGCACCGGACCTACAGTCAGAGGACCTAGACTCAGTCCCAGCCAGATCCCTCTTTCTTTACTCAGTACGTGCCCTGGTGTGTGCTTAATTTGTAAAATGAGGCAACACATGTTGACCTCAGAGGGTTGAGGTGAAGTTCAAAGAGATGATCTACGTAAAGCCTGTATCACCATGCCTGGTAAAATGTAGGTGCCTAATCAAAGCTAGTTCCCGTTGTTCTTTCGTGGACTAATGAAGAATTTGGCCTCCCAAATTCTTTACCTACCAAGGATGTAACTTTGTAAGTGAAATGCAAATCTCATTTTATTTAGCTACGGCTGCAATTCTCAGAAAAGGTTTACAGTGGGTGGAAGAAAAAGGAGGCAATTCATGGTCCATGGAGAAATTGAATTTACTTTTTTTTCTATCCACACATGGAGTGACTTTGATTCTTTGTATCTTGTCTATGACCACCTGCAAACAGGAAAAAGGATTCATATATAACTTGTATTTCTGAACTATCACCACAGGATTAAGTAGTAAAGGAGAGACCTGCTTAGAATGCTCATTAATAGGGTGGCAGCCGTGAAAATGCACCTTTCAGACCTCCTGCGGGAGTTGAATTGACCAAGGGCCCCAGCCAAGATGCCTTGAATCTGCCACATTTTTGCACTGAGGCCACACATCCTACAGGCTGTTCCCAGCCAATGACTAAGCAAAACAGGAACCTTAAGACCAGTTCCTGCAAGTCAACTTCCTTTGACAGGTAACTTTGGTTCAGTGACTCCCCATGGACTTTGCTGAAACTTCCTTCGACTCCACTGTCATGGGAGACTTCCTACCCCATATTCCTTCTTCCCTCCTCTGCAGAGGTCAGTCCTGCACTGTGTTCTGACAGCTCTGTAGTCTCTTCTGCCTCCCTTCCTCTTTTCCCTCACAGGAATTTACCCCAGTAAATCTGTTAAGACAGCTAACCCTTTTGTGGCATAGTTTTGGAGTATGCGGACTGAGAGGTATAGAACTGCAGAGAACAAAGGAGCATACAGATATATGGTCAAGCTACTTCTCCTCTGGGATTTCTCCTGGGAAAGTTCTCCCTTGCCTCCTAAACTGTGCCTGTTGGCTCACAGGAGCACGAAGCCAAGAGCAGGCTGCCTTCCCTCCTTAAATCATCTTTGAGCATCATAAGAACCACGGAAAGGATGGGAAGATTGAGTTTTCTCTCCCCCATTACATCTCCTTGGTGCTGAACATTTCTCTAAAAATAATAGAAGTGGCCGGGCACAGTGGCTCATACCTGTAATCCCAGCACTTTGAGAAGCTGAGGCGGGTGGATCATTTGAGGTCAGGAATTCAAGACCAGCTTGGCCAGCATGGTGAAACCCTGTCTCTAATAAAAATACAAAAATTAGCCAGGCAGTAGTGGCGTGCACCTATAATCCCAGCTACTCAGGAGGCTGAGGCAGGAGAATCGCTTGAACCCAGGAGGTGGAAGCTGTGGTGGGCCAAGATCATGCCAATGCACTCTAGTCTGGGTGACAGAGTGAGACCCTGTCACAAAAAATAATAATAATAAATAGCAGTAATAATAGAAGCATGTGGTTTTAAAATTACAATTAAGCATTCTTGGCTGGATGCAGTGGCTCATGCCTGTAATCCCAACACGGAGAGGCCGAGGCAGGCAGATCACTTGAAGTCAGGAGATCGAGACCAGCCTGGCCAACATGGTGTAAAACCTCATCTCTACTTAAAAAAGAAGATACAAAAATTAGGCAATTATTTAGGCATTTGTTATACAAAACAAAGGAGCATACAGATATTCAACAAAGATCAACTACCTGCCTTCACTGGGTCCTGGCTTGGGCAATGGGTGGAGATAGAAAAAAGATAGACCCTGATCTCAGGATGCTTTTTTGTGTGTTTATTTTTGCTTTTTGTTTTTGCTTTTGTCACCCAGGCTGGAGTGCAATGACGGGATCTCCACTTACTGTAATCTCTGCCTCCCGGGTTCAAGTTATTCTCCTGCCTCAGCCTCCCAAGTAGCTGAGATTACAGGCACCCAAGACCACACATGGCTAATTTTTGTAGTTTTAGTAGAGACAGGGTTTCACCATGTTGGCCAGGCTGGCCTTGAACTTCTGACCTCAAGTGATCCACCCTCCTCGGCCTCCCAAAGTGCTGGAATTACAGGCGTGAGCCACCGTACCTGGCTAGGGCTTTATATTTCTAGCCTTCCATACACAAAAAGGATTTGCTTTAAAAATTCTTACATATTGACCTGGTGCAGTGGCTCACGCCTGTAACCCCAGCACTTTGGGAGGCCGATGCGGGCAGATCACAAGGTCAGGAGATCGAAATCATCCAGGCCAACATGGTGAAACCCTGTCTCTACTAAAAATACAAAAAAATTAGCTGGGTGTGGTGGTGTGTGCCTGTAGCCCCAGCTACTCAGGAGGCTGAGGCAGGAGAATTGCTTGAACCCAGGAGGCAGAGATTGCAACAAGCTGAGATCGCACCATTGCACTCCAGCCTGGGCGACAGTGCAAGACTCCATCTGAAAAAAAAAAAAATTCTTACATATTGTGGGCAGTAAGGAGTTTGAGACCAGCCTGGCCAACATGGTGAAACTGCATCTCACTACAAAAATTAGCCGGACGTGGTGGTAGGCACCTATAATCCCAGCTACTCAGGAAGCTGAGGCAGAATTGCTTGAACCCAGGAGGCGGAGGTTTCAGTGAGCCGAGATCATGCGACTACATTCCAGCCTGTGCAACAAGAACAAAACTCCATCTCAAAAAAAATACATAAATAAAAATAATAAAAAATAAAGATTCTTACATACTGTGGCCTGTTTTAGTTACTTTTGGGGAGTTTCCAAATTATCACTTTTCAAGGATAGAGAGGAGAGAGAAGACACAGTTCTTTCCAAAAAAAGAAAATTCTTTCTTTTATATGAAATGCAAAAGGACTAGCATGGGGTGTCATAGAGGAAAGTGGGTCAGAGCCAAGTAGCTGACCGTGGACCAAGTGTGAAGACATGGGGGCTATCTTTCCTCAGTGCCACCACAATCTAAGTCTGCATTCACCAGGGTCTAGCATGCAGACCCATGAAGACCAGCTGATGGTTCCCCATCCTCTGAGCTGCTCTGCTAACACGTGGAATTTTGTATGAAATTAGGAGTCCACCCCAAATCCATTCTGAACAAGTCAACCAGAAGGTGCAGTGTCTGGAAACTGTATGTGTATCCAGTTATCCATAAACATACACTAAACTGCTACTATGTACCGGGGACTGTGTTAGGCGTTGAAGATAAAAATTCTTGCCTTCAAAGGACTTTCAGTCTAGGAGGACCTATGCCATATTACAGGCAGTCAAAGGAACTGCATAAGGGAATAATTAAAGCAGGTCACTGCCCTGGCCCCAAATGCAGAGACCCTCCATGGAACCCTTGCTCAGGCCCTGGAGCCAGGTTTGCAGCCTTACAACTGGGAGGTTCTGGAAAATGCACATGTGACACTGATCTATCGTAGGCAGAAAAGCCGGCTGGGAAAGAGGGTGATGATGGAAGATGATTGGCCAAATCTGTTCACACTCGACAAGCACTGACGGCCCAACCAAGGTTC